CTCTTAATATCCAGTTCTCTAGTTTTGTTCTTTTTTAAAATGGTTTCAACCAATCTTGGGAATTGCCACTTGGCTAGGTAGAGGTATATTTATTTTACATGCCTTTAAATTGCAATATCTGGCATACTGGCATTAATCTACTTAGCCTAGGAGAACCTAGTCAGCATATCTAACCTTTTAATGGATTTACAAGTTTTTTGAGTGAAGTGGAAATATTTTGTGGTTCATAGATTATACACACATTTAAAAATCAGTGCTCACTTTTGGCATCAATCACTGGAGTGTTCAGTAATCATTCTTAGTTCAAATGTGTATATTTAATTGCACTGATACTTGATTTTCTCATTTGTAAGTAATCAGCTGTTTTATATACCATTATGACCAGCTCTGTAGATGTGGTGTTTGGGAATTAGTTTGTTTCAGAAACATGAAACGGGAATAGTGACTGAGTCCATCTGGAAGTGTGAATCATCTTAACATGACATTTAAAGGCAACAATCTTTGTTAGTAACAGTCTGATTTTGTCAATCTGAAGATGTTTCTTTTTAATAACCTGCCTTCTTTTCCCTTCCATTTCATGTTAATTCATCTGGCAGAAATTGCAAGGTTTTAAAGTAAAATAACCGGCTATACTTTACTTACAAAATTAACCATTTGTAGTTTTTGTTATTTTATTTTAAAATAAAAGATAATTTTATAACGTTTATAAATAGAAAAGCTTGCGAATAACCAGACCTAAAATATATACATCTCAGTAAACTTTTCTACATTATGAAGCTGTGGAGTTTCATATTGGATTTTACATTTACACTGTCCAATACATTTTATTCACCATCAAGAATAAAAAAATCCATGACAGAATTAGAAGTAGAAAAACCAGTTAGTGTTATGTCTTAGGGTTGCTCTTGCTGTGTTGAAATACATGACCAAAAGTAACTTGGGGAGGAAATGGTTTACTTGGCTTAGATCCTGAGTTACAGTTCACTAAGGGAAGCCAAAGCATAAACTCAAATTGGTGGGAATCTGGAGGCAGGAGCTGATGCAGAGGCCTTGGAGGAATACTGCTTACTGGTTTGCTCCCCATGACTTACTCAGCCTGCTTTCTTATAGAACCTAGGACCACCAGCCTAGAGGTGACACCACCCACAATGGACTGGGCCTCCTTTGTTAATAACTAATTAAGAAAATGCCCTATAGTCTTGCCTACAGCCTGATCTCATCAAGACATTTTTTCAATTGAGGTTCTTTTTTCCCAAATGATTCTAGCCTGTGTCAAGTTGACATAAAACTAGCCAGCACATGTCATATCCTCTTTCATAACTCATGTCTATTATGTGCATTCAGCCCTTCCCCATCCTCTAGTATTTCTTGTTTTCTTTGGCGAATGGTGAATACCTCCTATAGGTAGGAGGAAGACATGTAGATCTCTGGGTAGAGGGAGTGTGTGCTTTACAGTTCTGTGAAATGAGACGGTCTTGGGAAATTGACATGTATGGCTGCTGTAAAGTAGGTGAACAAATGAATAGAGATCTGCACACATAGGAGCTACGTGAGTGATTTTCATCCCTCCCCATTTGGTTTCCAAGTGCAGAGTTCTAAAAGCAAAGTGCATGCTTGGTTCAGAAATTGGGATTAATCTTGAACAGATGCAGTATAACATAATTGTGTTCTACTTGAGTTAGATGAAAACTCAGAGTTGCTGGGATGCTCGGCAGTCTATTTACACGACTATAGGGTAGGCAGGGTTTCTTCTGCAGTCACAGATTAGGTGTATGTTTTGCCTAAAGAGTTAAATGACATCATTGGCTGTGTACGTATTTACTGAGTACATGCTACTTTTCAAACATTGTGTAAACACTAAATAGAAAAGTGAGTAAAATGGATATGATTCAGATAGAACTTTCCAGTTAGAGTTGGGCAGAGGAGGATCATTGCATGTCTTGTATTTGGTGACTTTGCTTGCTGGTAACAATATAATTTGTTATTTGTCTTTGTGTAAGGGACACACATTCTGGGACCCACAGTGCATGCTTGAGACATTGAACTATAACTATACTGTTTTATTTTTAAACTTACATACCTATAATAAGGTTTAATTTATAAGTTATAATTGGTGAGACATTAATAACAATAATAAACAGAACAATTAATACACTATATAAAAGCTATAAGAAAATGGATCTCTTCCCCTCTCAATGCAACTTGTTGTACTGTACTCTCCCTTTTTGTGGTGATGTGAGAGAAAACAGTATGCTATGTGCTCATTAGCCTCTTAGTCATCATGTGGTTACCAGATCAACTATCACAGGTTACTGTGTAAGTAATTCTTACGTAGTAGCCTGTCATTACATCACAGCTCCTGCATCATTCACATCACTTCATCTCGTCATATCTCCTTAAATCATGGACCAAAACAAATGCTTCCTCCTTCTGTCAGATGATTTGTCATAGCATGTGAAAGGAAATAATATAATTCTGTTTGTATTCTTATATATCGTTATTGTAGGAGTAGGGATGAATATTTACTTGGCAGTCCAGTCCTCCAGAGCACACCTGGGCTTATTTTATTTATATAGTTCTATGTTTACATCTTATAAACCACTGTCAATTTGTCAACTTCTCTCCATTTCTATTGCCTCTGCTTTATTTTTAATTAAAATAAAAAATTACATGCGTTATGGTGGTGCACATGTTTAATCTCAGCACTCAGGAGGTAGAGGCAGGCAGATAATCTGAGTTCCAGGCCAGCCTGGTCTACAGAGTGAGTTGCAGGACAGTCAGGACTACACAGAAAAACCTTCAAACAAAAATGCCTATGGGTGTTTTACCTGCATGTATGTTTGTGCACTATGGGTGTGTTTGGTGCCTATGGAGGTTGGAAAAGGATGTTGGATTCCTTGGAACTGGAGTTAGAGACTGTCATGAACCACTGTGGGTGCTGAGGTTGAACCTGGTCCTCTGAAGATCAGCAAGTTCTCTTAACCACTGAGCCTTTCTCTAGCTCCACTGCCTTAGTTCTGTTGGGTAGTCTCTCTCCTCTAGTGATTGTAGCAGCTTCTTGCTCTTTTTTTCATTCAAACCTCAACTGTAGTGTATTCTAATTCCTCTGTTTTGTTTGGAATCACCCAGGAGATCCTCCTTGCCTTAGTTTTCTCAGAAGATGGGAGTTCAGATATACTTCATGCCAGCTTCCTGCTTTGAAGCCAGATAATGTTACTCAGGCGCTTGTGCAGGAATTCTGGGAGCTCCCTAAGTGATACTCCTTGGTTGTGTTTACAGCTTGGCTAGAACGGGGCTGGAAAGTGCTGGCTGGGGAGAGGGATTAGCATTTTGGAAGGCTTTCGTGTTTTTAACCACAACTGGAGTTCTTTTAGGCTTAATGATTATTTACCCCAGTATAAGCTCAAAAATCAGTCATACTGTTTTGTGATAATATGTAGTTTTGTTTCAGTGTATTGAAACAATGATTGTATGCAAATACAGTTGAACCTGTTCTTATACAGTTGGATTTCAAATACTGGTTCTGCACTCTGTAGCTAATAGTTTTATAAGCTGCTGGCTTGTTCCTCTGACACTCCTGCAATGGTTGGCTTACTTTATATGTTGATTTAGTTAATGGACAGAGTTGATGTCTTTCGTTCTCTCTCCTTTCTGCCTCTTCCCTACTCCTTCTCTTCCTTTTGCTGTATTACTCAAGCTGGCTCTGAACTACTGTGCTCAGGTGACCCTGCCAGACTCTGAGTGACTAACACTGTGACTCATGTTGTACTGGGGAGAAATTCCTAATTTCTAATGGTGATCAGTAGTTTTCTCAATGTGGTTGGTACCCCATTTCAAGGAAAGAAGTTGACAGTTAAATTATTGGGTGAAAACAGTATGTTTACTACTATGGGGGCGGGGCTGTTGTGATATAGGTGTAGTTGGAAAAGACACCGTCTGCCTGACTCTTCTTACTGTAGTAGCCAAATACCTGACAGAAACACCTTAAGGGAGGAGATTTACTTTGGGTTCAGTCCATTGTGGTGGGAAGGTTTGGCAGAGTAGCTCGTACGGTGGAAGACAGCAAGAAGCTGTCTTGACGGAATACGGGACTGGCCAGAGCAAGACAGATTCACAGGGTTGTCTCCACTGACCACCTTCCTCTCACTGGGCCCTAATCTTCACTGTCTTCAGTAATGTCTGTCACATTAGGAATCCATTAAGGTTTGACCCATTACCAGAGTCTTTAGAATCTAGTCACTTCCCCAAAGCCCATCAGCTGGCAATCAAGTGTTCACCAGAGGAGCTCATGAAAGACATTTTGTGTTTGAACCACAATACTGTTGTAACTAGTTAAGAGGCAGCTAGCTAACTACTGTTGCCTCCTAAGACAGTTAAAAACAACAACAACACCTCCCCACTCACACAAAAAAAACCCCAAAACAACAACAACAAAAGCCTTGCTGTGAAACCCTGCCTGGTTTGAGCTAGTGACCCTCCTAAACCGCCTTTTTGAGACTAGGTCTCAGTGGACTTTTTTGGTATTTTTCTGTTGTGTGCACATGCACACACACACACACACACACACACACACACACACACACACACACACACACGATTATAGATCAGAGGAAAGCTGCCACGCTGAAAATGAACCAATTAGTGTGGCAGTAAAGATACTTCAAGGTGATAAAACATACTGTGGATAGAAAGTCAACATTAGTTTAGAATTGATGTTTCCTTTTGTTTGATGGGGATAACATAGATTTGAGACCCTTCATGGAGGCTCATTTTGGTACTGACACTGTTGTTTTTAACCTTCACTATTTTCTGTCTTATTTCTTTGCTAATGCTTTGATATACATATAATCCAACTGTTATTGATGCCCTTTTGTATGATCATTAGGCAGATTTCAGCTAAAGTTGTCATTTAAAAGTAGTTTCACTTAAATATTAATTATAAGCACATAAGATGTTATTTTCTGTGTTTTCATTAAAACATTTTTGTATTATTTGTATAGGCTGCTGTGATGGCTAATCCTGATTTCAACTTGATACCTGGGAAGAGGGAACCTCAGTTGAAGAATTGACTCCATGGATTGATTGGCCTGTGGGCATATCTGTGGAGAATTTGTTTGATTGCTAATTGATGTGGTGAGCTCAGCCCATTTGCCTGTGCTGTGATCCCAGGCCACGGGCCCCAACCACATCAGAAAGGTAGCTGACTTGTGAGCCTGGGAGGAAGCCAGCCAACATCTTTTCTCTATGGTTTCTGCTTTGAGTTGCTTGCCCTGTCTCTTTCAATAAAGCGTTATGACCTGGAAGTGAAATAAACCCTTTCTCCTTCATGTTGTTTTTGGTCACGGTGTTTGTCACAGCAACAGAAAGCAAACAAGGACAGTGCTGCCTTTTTGCTGTTGTTGATCTGTGTGTCAGTGCACAGAGACCGGAGAAGTATCCTGTTCTGTCACTGTCCACCTTATTCCCTTGAGAGAGGATCTCTTACTGACCCTGGAGCTATGCTTGTGGCCAGTGAGCTCCAGTGATCCTCTTGTTTCTATCCGTCACAGTTCTGGGCTTACAGATACAGGTATACATGGCCTCATGTGGCCGCAGCTGCTCCCCCGACCCACCCAAACAAACAAACAAACAAACAAACAAACAAACAAACAAACGTACATACACAGTGGGTGCCCGAGGCTTAGGTCCTCATGCTTTCTGGGTCCTTCTCATGCTTAGGTACTTCACCTGCTGAACCTTCTTCTGTAGCCCTTCCTGTGCTTTTACATTCAGATGTACTCGTCCTTCTTAGTGAAACCATCCAAAGAGTTTGTGGTGCCCTTGGTGGAAATGAGTCACTTAGCAGAGTTGTAGAGTTGTACTCCGAAGTCCAGGTTGTTGGAGCACATTTCACTGAGCGACAGATTGCTGAGAAAAGTAGTCTCTACACCTTGGCCAACTTTGTTATCTTATCACCATCATCTTTGGAGTTACTTAGTGCTGCTTCCTCAAGATAGGATCACTTTACTTTGTTGTCTTCTGTTTTAGAATTACTTTAACCAATACATAAGAAATCACAACTCACTAAATTTTTGGATATTCTCTGATCTAAGCAAAGTTCAAAGTTGAGTTTTCGCATTCACTGTAATATTTTAACATCTAGTACTTTGTATTAAGTAACTCTACATTACTTATATATTTACATATATTTTTTAAAAAGCAAAAATAAGCTAGATGTGGTGGTGTAAGCCTTAATCCCAGCACTTGGGAGGCAGAGCAGTGGCAGGCAGATCTCTGAGTTCTAGGCCAGCCTATACATGTAGTGAGTTCCAGGACAGCCAGAGCTATATAGTTAGACTGTCTCAAAAAAACAAAACAAAACAACCAACCAAAGACAAAAATAATGCAGTAGTAAAATTTATACCTGTAGTTGGTTGTTTTTTACTCTTTGGCTCTTTGCTCTTTTGGGGGTCCGCTACCCAGCTCCCAAATAAATCACACACAGAGGCTTGTTCTTTCTTATGTCTAGCCTGCTTTTCTTAACTTAAATTATCCCATCTACCTTTTGCCTCTGGGCTTTTATCTTTAACCTATATACCTTTCTTTACTTCTTACTCTGTGGCTTGCTGTGTAGCTGGGTGGCTGGCCCCTGGAGTCCTCCTCTTTCTCTCATTCCTAGATCTTTTCTTCACAGATTTCTCCATCTGTTTATTTTGTCTGCTTGCCAGCCCCACCTATCATTTATCCTGCCTTGCTATTGGCCCTTCAGCTCTTTATTAGACCAATCAGGTGTTTTAGACAGGCACAGTAACACAGCTTCACAGAGTTAAACAAATGCAGCATAAAAGAATGCAACACATCTTTGCATCATTAAAACAAATGTTTCACAGTATAAACAAACGTAACACATCTTAAAATAACATTCTACAACATATGCCTGCTTGTTAAAAAGAATATATTTTTTTAGAAATATGTATCAAGAACCATGAAATGTTACTTTTGACCTAGTAGTTAGACTTTTAAGATCTTTTTCTCTTATTATCATTTGTGAGTCTGCCCAATATGTGTATGTATATGTGCCATAACACATACGTATAGGCCAGAGGACATATGTAGAGTCAGTTCTTTCCACCTTTATATGGGTTCTGGAGATTGAACTTGTATCCTCAGACTTGCAGGATAGGCATCTTTGCTTGCCACACCATTTCCCCAGCACCCTATGATCCCATCTTAACAATGTTACATGAAAGACACAGAAAGATTTCACCAAAATACTCAAGGTAGTCTTGGGTTCAATGGGGAATATTTGGCAAATCAAATTTTCTCACAGAAATAATTATAGCTTATTCATATTAACAAATTTTATATGGTCATTATAAAGTTAATTCATAAAGATTAATAACAAGAAAAATCTAATGCTTAAAACTGAAACATGAAGAACTCCACAAAAAGGCGAATTCTCTATGTAATCAGCAGTTGATAACAAAGTCATGGAGCTGGGTTTGCAGCTTGAGTGAAGAGAACTTACCTAGTACACACAAGGCTCTGGGGTCATTCCAGTTCTGCACTGCCATCCAAAACCAAAACAGAAGTCAGACTTGCAAGTACAGACCTGTAATGATTAAAATGAAAAAGAATAATATATACATGCACCCAAATTATATGCACATACATGTATTCACACACATATACCAATACACACGTACACAAATGAAAATAAAATTAACTCTAAGAGAAAGCAACATTAAGTGAATATAAAACATTAAGTGAATTGTATTTATAGTCAGAATTAGGGATGTACATGCATAGAAAAAAAGTGACTGTCCCACTGTTAATACCAGTGAGTTTAGAGAGGAGGGGAAAGTATACTTTTAAGTTTTAATTAAATTTTGAGCAGGTGCATTTATAAATCATTTATAATTAAAGATAAAGAAAGAACTAGTAGCACTTGGGAAGGGATGCAGGAGGGTCAGAGTTCAGCTATCCTTGATTGCACAAGCCTGGGCTACATAATCCTTTGTGTCTTAAAAAGTGGGGAGAGCTAGGAGATGGCTCAGCCAGTAAGGATGCTTTCCATGCCAGCCTGGCCTGGAACCCATGGAAGGATGGAAGGAGAGAACCAACTTCATGAAGTTGTTCTCTGATCCTTCGACATGGGTGATGTGGCATAGCATCCCAATCATGCATACTCACAATAAAAAGAAAAAGGGGAAAATGATAGAAGTGGGGATATAGAAGAGCAGGTCAAAGAATAGGCCTGGGAGACCTGGGTGCAAGGTGGGTGGGTGTTCCTGTAGTCTAAGAGAAAGGTTTGGTATGCATTCCTTGCCTAGCATGTTAAGTGTTCAGCACTGTGTTTAAAAAGGTAAAGAATAAAACTATTCCCAGCAACTTGAGATTCCATTTTCTAAAGACAAATCCTGAGATATAAGCAGTGGTTATATCTAGAAGTCAGAAGAATGGGCAGTTGTAGTTTTTTTTTTTTTTTTTTTGTACATTTCATGTGATTTTTGACAATGAGGAAACATTAGTTTTGTAACCTGAAGTGTTAGTAAGATATATGCTGGGACTGGATAGCAGGTTCTCACCCATGCAAGCATGTGCTTTACTGCTGACTGCTACACTCCATTCTGGGTAAGGTAAGGGCACTTTCTGGAGTTAAAGATGTCTTCGTTCAGACTCTGGCTGAGACTGTCATGAGCTGCATGATTCTAGAGAGATGGCTTTGCTTTTCTTCTGGGGTTTTCTTTGATGGTTAAGTAAGATGTGACATAGGTAACTAGTTAACTTTCTTCCTTCTTGCCTCTGTATTTAATGCTATAATAGTTAATATAACTGCTCTTCAAATGGATGAAAAAATACCACAGAGCTAGAGCTTTTTTTTTTGGTTTTTTTGAGACAAGATTTCTCTGTGTAGTTTTGGTGCCTGTCCTGGAACTCGCTCTGTAGACCAGGCTGGCCTCGAACTCACAGAGATCCACCTGACTCTGCCTCCTGAGTGCTGAGATTAAAAGTGTGTGCCACTGCCACCCAGCACCACAGAGCTTTTAAGATTTATTTATTAATTATTTTATGTGTATGGACGTTTGCCTACATGAATGTCTGAACACATGTGTGCCTACTGCCTGTGGAGGCTAGAATAGGGTGTGATCCCTTGGAAGTGGAGTTACTGGTGTGGATGCTGGGAACAAAACCTTATCCACTGTAAGAGTTACTAAGAGCTCCTACCTGCTGAGCCATCTCTCCAACCTCCAAACATCAGAAATATTTTAACAGAAACTCAAAGATAGTAAAAACCTGGACAGCCGAGGTATAAATCAGTTTTGGAAATACATCTGCTATAGAATAGGAATGAAGATGTTCATCAGAGCAAAGCGGAATGGTTTGTGGAAAGAGGAGGAGGAATCTGAATGTGTTGTTAGTAACGATGTGCCTATTCTAAACTACGTTCTCTCTGGCTCAATGTGATGAATTTTTGTGTGCTGTGATTTTGGTAAAGTGCTGTCTTTACTCATCAAGCCTGCTAGTACTAAGACAAAAGTATTCAGGGTTTGAAGCTAGTAATCTTGCAGTAGTCACTCAGCATCTAAACTGAGATGCCTTTGTTAATTCCACAGTTGTATTTCTGTGGCATAATTAGAGAAAATAGCAGCATAAAGTTCTCCAGCCCCGAGTGATCCCATCATCTTACTGTGTCTAGTGTTTTGCAGAGTTGTTGCCACAGGTTTGATGAAGAACACTGACACCAAACAGCCTGGTAAGTGCAGAGCAGGGATCTAGCTCTGGCTGTCTTGGATTTCAGAGTGCTGGTGTTGCTGCCTCTAGGTGTTTTCATAGAAGAGTTTTAAAATAAAGGGCCCCGAGTCTTAGTGGGTATCAGATGTTTCTTCTATCCCATTTGCTTCCTTATTTAGTCATGTTTCTTGAATGAGTGTATTGGCTCTCGTTTATTGCTATCTTTTTTGTAGTCATTCTCTTGAGTTGTAGCCCACCAAGAATGCACATATTGAAAATGGTTTGGATAGGTTTTCATGAGGTAGAGCATGTGGCTACTTTGTCAGCAGCTGTGTTCAAGCTCCTAGTTGCAGTTGTGATTCTGCAGCAGCAACTGTGCTTTTTAGTATCAGTTATGGGTGGAGATGGCGATTTTAACACCAGTTCAGTGCCCTTCAAAACTGTAAGCTGTCTTGAGATTGACCCTTCGGAGTTCATTTCTGTTCTGATATATGCGTTTATCTTCATGTGGTGATTTTTCCCCCTCCGAAAGCCTTAAAAAAAGTCTGTCTGTATATTGTCTTTTTGGTGACACTTACCTTTGTAGCCTGCTCTAGGTCTTCTTTGTCTCAGC